CTATACTCACTCTCGACAAAGGTGCCCAAAACATACATTGGAGAAAAGACAGCCTTTTAAACAAATGATTCTGGGAAGACTGGTTATCCATATATAGAAGAATGAAACTAAACCCCATCTCTGGCAACCACCATTCCGCTCTCAATATCTATGAGTTTGGTGTTTTTGGAAGCCATGGGTAAGTGAGATAACGCAGTATTTGTTTTGTTGTGCCTGATGTTATGTTGCTTAGCATAGTGCCCTTTAGTTGCCCGTGCTGTTGCAAATGACAAGGTTTCCATCGTTGTTAAGACTGAGTAGTACTCCATTGTTGTTATATATAATATTTTCTTTATTCTTCATCCAATGATGGACTCTGACGTTGATTCCCCATCTTAACTATTTAAAATATACAATGTTTAAATGAACATGGGAGTACAGAGTTCTCTTCGATATACCAGATCCCATATATATGTATGAGCCAGGCACAGTCGCCTATAATCCAAGACACTTGGGAGGCTGAGGCAGGAGGATCACGAGTTCAAAGCTAGCCTCGGCAATTTAGTGAGATCCTGTCTCAACATTAAAAAAAATAAAAAGGGCTGGGGTTGTATCTCAGTTGTAAAGTATCACTGGGTTCAATCCCCTGTAACATAAAAAGGAAAATTAATCCATGTGTATGTACAATTATTATTTGTTAATTCCAATTTTTAAAATGATTTTAACAAAGATACACTCTGGCTAATAAGAAGAAAACTGTTTTGGAGTTAAATTGCTTAGGTTTAAGTCATAGCTCTGCCAATAACTGCTCTGTGACAGTGGACTAGTTTTCTTTTTTAACTTCTTTGAGCCTCATTTTACTTATACACTGAATGGATTTGATAGTAGTTAACTACTTCATTTTGTTATTTTAATTTTTAGAGGAAGAAATTTTACCACAAATCCATTAACTGTATGTGGTTATCGATTACATCGCAGGCACTGCTGTATAAGGCTCTAGAAATAAAGGAATAACTAAAACAGATACCCTCTGGAATTGCCTGTAATCTAGTAAATAACACAATTAAGAAATGACTTAGCAGGGGCTATCACATGCAACAGATATTTGATTAGACCTCTGTAATTCTGAATGAGATCATTTCTTACCAAGACTTCATAAAATAGGGCAGATGACGTGAGTTCATTCAGTTAATTCAAGATCCAAACATGGAGCTGAAAAATTGAGATGCATAGATGAATAATTTAAAAAGCATCTAAGTTTTTTTTTTTTCATTCTATTTCTCGTAATAAAGCTATTCTTGTTGTAGGCATGGAAAGAAAAAAGACATTTGTGTTTTAAAATCCTCCAGAAAGTAAACTTAAACACCAGGCTTACTATAATTAATATCGAGGGGGGTCATTCTTGCCTAAGGAAGCCAGGCGAGACCAGGACCAACTCTGCAGTTCTGGAAAATGAGTTGGGTCAGTTCTGCTCCCAACTTGTCCATTATATGAGACCCAAGAAGGGAGAGAACCTGGGCTGTAGAATTCCAGGACCACATGATGCTGGCCTTGGAAGGGACTTTTGTGGACCCCTTGTCCCATGGCTTCATATCCAAGTGTGGAATCTGAGGCTCCAAGGGTGACTGAATCACCTGCCACCCCACTTCTGGTTATTACAGCTCTTCTACAGGAAGAGAATTCAACTGGTAGCACAGAGGTCAAAGGCACACTGTGGAGTTGATTAGCACCCACCTTGCAGAGTTAACTGAGTTTTAGTACTGAGGCTTCTCTACTGAATAAAGCTGTGAAGAAAAAAAATTTACAAGTCATGTGTTTTAATGCCACCAAATTTTGGAAGTCTCTGGATACATATCCATTCATAAATAGCTACAGGAAAAGATACATCTTCTTTTCCTGATTGCCTGTTCAAAATCATTTATTGATTTTCAAGAAAGCACTTCAAAGCCACTGAAACACTTCCCAGCCTTTTAGACACATGCCCAGGGAATCATCTCCAAGTCAAGCCCTGCAGTCCCTCAAGCCCAATATGCCCAAACTTTTCCCTCTCCTCTTGTTCCCACCCTTAAATATCTCACGATCCAGGAGGGGATGTTTCATGAATTGTCAGAAAAATGCTACATTCATACAATCCCAAGGAGCTCAGCTTGAATCATCTCCCCTCCCTATTCCTGTCAAAACGGCTGGTGAGAAAAATTGAGATGCATAGATGAATAATTTAAAAAACATGCTCGGCATCGATTTCTTTATGTTTTCTAAATTCTGTTCCTGCCTCATCTTTTAAAAACAGGAAGCCGTGTGCCTGAACTCGAAGTAGCCCATACCATCAGGAAGCTCCACCATCCATCTTGGACTTCAGGGTGTAAATGCCTAGTACGTGTTCCCAGCTCACCCACCCATGGTGGTATTCTTTAAGAATGCTTCTTCATCTTAAATGTCCCTTCATCTTCCCTCCATTGCCAATTACCCCTTCCCATGGTAGAGCAATCTGTCATCATTTGGGCCTTAAGTACACAAGCAAAAGCAACCCCAGCTGACTTCCTGCAGCTTACACAGATAGAATTCAATTTTATGTCATCATAAGCCACATGGAAGCAGGTGGTCTGGGTTGGTGCAACAGTTCCTCAGTGACATCTAGGACCCCAATGTCTTTTCCACACACTACCATTCCAATCACATTGCTCATCAGCTTACACTGTCAGCATGTTCTCTGTTCCTCCATATCACACCTAGATTCCAGCAGGAAGAGGGCATGCCACACTTGCTGCACCTATCTCATGACATCAGAAAAGTGTCAGCTCTTCCATAAACCTGAGCAACCACTGGGGTAACAACTCTGTAACAACTGTGCCCCAGCCTCCTCCTAGAAGCAAGGGATGCTGGGAGCACCACTTCCCTGAAAGTAACCTGTCTTTGGTTCACTTTATTGGGAACCAACCAAAACCTTTATAGCATCCCTTCCAGCCACCTAAGCCAAGCTCTCCTTTCTTCTCTTTAGCAGATGATTAAGCCAATAAATACTATCTAGCACCTACAAAGTGCTAGATTCTAAGGACAAAAGGTTGCAGAGTCGGATAAATGTTGAATATGGCAGTATTCTTCACCCTGCTGAGAACTTAGAGAAAGGGATAGAAGAAGTGATTGAAAATAAGTTGAAGGTATAGGAGACATTTCCCAAAATGAATGTCAAGAGAAAAGAAGAAGACCAAGAGTAACTACAGTTCCTAAGGAAGTGCATCTTATTAAAGAGGAACATAAGAATATTTTGATAATTTCCTGTAATTCCAAGTTACCTAAGTAATGCATTGTCAATTTTATTCTCCATGATTTCAAGTTCATTTCTGAGATGTCAAAATACCTGAATTGAGTTACGGTTGAATGGTTGATAGGCCATAAACATTTTTACACCTAAAAACATTTGTTATTTCATTTTGCAGTTCGAATTTCTTATGTGAGAGGCAACCTTTTGCCCCCAGGTCCGTGATATTTTGTGAAGCATTGAACGGGAGTAGACCCTGAACTTTGTGTCTGTGTTCAACAAACAAAAGTACAGCGAGCAAGCTTAGCTGGAAGTGCTAGTTCAAAACTTGTAAAATACTTTAAACAAAGAAATGAGAGTCTATTTGCTCTATAAGTAGGCCACCACCTCAAATCGGTTGAAGGGATGGGTCGGTAATGTGGATGAGTGATGTCACCAGAAAAGGACAGAGTATGGTTACCTGGACAGTGATACCTATTTAGTGAACCAACCAATTAACTAAAACTACTGTTCCAGTTTAAAACAAA